GTATAAAAATTCAGTTTGATCAAAAATGAATGCGTTTGTGGCTGAGAGTTGCAAATTTGGAAATAAAAACCAGATCAAGTGCCTTGCTTTTAGATTTGGAGATCAGCATTTTTGGCCATGGGGATTAATGTGTTTGCTTCTGCTCCCTTTTTTCTCCCACCTAGCAGTTCTTTTTTACCCTCTTATCTCTAGCCACAGGACTTCTGAAGGACTTCCTTTATCATAATACTTCTGCTTTTAGAGGCAGCTAACAGGCGTGCTCTCTCTCTCATATATACACATACATACACACATACACCCTCCTCACCTTTACCTGCAGCTGTGACCAAGAAAACTACAGGGTTTGTCAAACTTTGTTCTTCTGCACTTGAGCTCAGTGTTATAGTCCTATAAAACATTCCCCTTAGGCACTGAAGGTGAAGACTGTGTAATTAATGGAAACAGCATGGTATAGTTAGCTGTTCTGTATGCTCACAATAAGAAGGGGGAATTTTTAGAACGGTGCCATCCATCTCTTTCAGGGACTTGGGGCTCTTTTTCACATGGAAATTGCCTGGCATAGCTGTAGCAGTACAGGTTTCCCTGGCTTTATGCTGTACATGTGTTCCTGGAACATAGCGTATAACTCAAATTCGCGTAAAGCGACCCCACTTTACAATATAACAAACAGGGATATATTCCAAGACCTTGAATGTACCCCAGACCTATTTCTACCCCTTTTACAAGATACTTTGGTACTGGCCAACAGCAGACAGTACACACAAGCACAAGGCATAAAGGGGATGGCAACTACAGAAAATCATGTCACAGACAATGAGCGAGGAGCACAGATCCACACAGGAGACTGTTTTGGTGCGCATCACTCCTACAATGCACTGCATAAAGCAGCTGACTGCAGGCTTCCACCACACTGATCACATAAGAGTAAATTTACCTCGCATATAACAAATTTTTGGTATACAAAGGGTCATCACATAAGAGCGAATTTGCACATACAGAACCCGCATAAAGCAAGGGAAACCTGGATAAGCTAAACTGCTCTAGCTAGTCTGCAATAGCTGTTCCACTACACATTTTTCAGCCCTGATGAAAAATGCAGTTCTACCAGTGGTGCAAGTTTTCTTTACCACCATGTTGCGACCTTCCCACCACAGAGAGGTGAGTAACTGCTGTGTTAACCCCAATGCCACCTCTGAAACTGCTCACCCCACTACCATATCTGCCTCCAACCCACAAGGCTCCTTGTTGTCTTCATTTGACCGGTGAAGAACCGCACACTCTGGATCCAGCCCATAGAAGCGATCAAGCTTGATGTCCCTACTCCCTGTAGGTAGAAAGCTTAGCTGTCAGCTTTAACAGCTCTATATTGAACTTATATAAAGAGAGATTTTTTTCAGAATCTCTTATAACATAGCCAGACTTATCTGTCTTTTCACAGGAGCAATGGAAAATATGTTCCTGCCACCAGAACAACTCCCCTGACAGTTTTTTTTTTTTCTTTTCCTTTTTCCAAATCCCCGGGGGCAAGCATTTTTCATGAAAAGGTTCTAAACTTTTTTAATATGGATGAAACTGTTCTTAAAAACTTTTCAAAATAGTTTGCTTGATGCTGACACCCAACTTAGAAAATTTTATCCCAAATAGGTTCATGAATATAGGCTGTATCCGTGTTAGTGTAAAGGCAAAGGCATCCAAAACTCTTGAGGAAGAGACGATATCTTTTATTAGATCAACTAGATAGTTGCATTTTATTTTTATTTTTTTCATGCTTTCAGTCTTAAACACCCTTCTTCAGGCAATGGAGAAGTCAAAGATTGGAAAATTTCTCCCAGGTAGAAACAAAACTTTATATTGCGCAGGAGAGCAGAAGCATGTTATGGGTCTCCTGGTAGGAAAAGTTCAGTTTCGTGATTTCCCTTTTCTATGCATTTTAGGAGCAACACCCACTTAGAGGGAATTGATTTGATGTTACAGGTGTGATGTATGTACAGTAAAATCCACAACAGAGTTCATTTAGAATAACAGGCTTTCATAAGCTGCTAATGACACTCTTCAGTACTTTGAATATATACCAATATTGTTATACACTTAGGAAAAAAGTATGACCAACCTGTGAGAGTTTCCTGATGTAGTGTTTCCAGCCTGAACTTTCCTCACTTCTTTTTGTCCCATTAGGTCCTGCTAGAGAGTCTTTAGCATTGAGATTTGTGTAGGCCTTGAAAACTTGTTTTATACTTCACATGCAGTTTCTCATTTTTCCTTAAATGTCTTGATGGACTTGTTCCATCACAGTATACTTCTAATATTATTTTATGTAATATAATGTAGTGTATAAGCACTAAGTAGTCAGGATTGGCTATCATTAATGTATTTTAGGTCATCTGTTTCAGTCATAGTAATATAATGTAAGGTAAAATATTTGCTTATCTTGTTTACATGCACATTTATAACTAGGTATTAAAACATTGTTTTATATATAGCTGGAAAACAGCGTAAAAAGAGGTAAATCGTAGATGCGTATTTTATGGCTGAAATAGTCATATAAAGGTGTTACAGGAATATAGGATTAAAGGGGTTCGCCTGGGTCAAAGAGTCTAGTTCCTTGCTAACATGGACCACCCTACCTTAACCTACTTTTTTTATAAATTAAACAGGGCATGTTATAACTGTCTGGTTGATTTGATGGTTGTTTTTACAACCTTGTTTTCTACAAGCACAAAATTACGTATAGAGCCAAGTATGCCAGTAACTGCTTGCAAACTAAAAAAATTAATAAAAAATTGTAGTATGGAGAGAGCCTACAGTAGTCGCTTAACCAGTTTCATGGGGGAGAGTAACAAAGAGACTTTGAAAGCTGAAGCGTTGATAAACAGTACCTTTAATCAACAGAAGAAGTGCTTGATGGAAAAAATAGTTTCATAGTTGTTAGGGGCTGGAAGGGACCTTACAGGTCCAGCCCCCTCCCTGCACATGGGCAGGAAAGACTGCTGGGTTCAAATGATCCCATCAAGATGGGCATCAAGACGTTTTTTGAAGATCGCCAGGGTGGATGACTACTACTTCTGGGGTGAGCCTGTTCCAAACCCTTGGCACTTGGCTTGTTATTTCTGACCAGTGGGAAGAGATGTTCTGGTGAGCATTAGATTCCATAGATTAGCAATGGCATAAATGTCTGAATCCACATTTCTGACTCCTTTCCCTGCCTTTTTTGTTAGGAATCTTTATATGATCATGGTGCGTGACATTTAAAGAAGAACTAGCTGCCAAAAGAAATAGCTGAAAAGTTGATGATATTTGCTGTTTTTTGTCTTTTTACTTCAGTGAAGGGAGCAATCTCACCCCTGCTCATCATTACCCTGACTTCAGATTTAAGACCTATGCTCCTCTTGCCTTTCGGTACTTCAGAGAACTTTTTGGTATCAAGCCGGATGATTATTTGGTAAAAAATTTTAAATTTTCCTCTGAGCTATGAATAATTGTAAATACTTGTTCTATAACAACTGAGGAAGATGGCATTAATGATGCCCTAAGGGATATAAAAAGCTTTCTAGGCTTTGTACCATGTATGTTTGTGTGGTGTTGGGGGGGGGAATTGTGCACGCATGTGTGTGTGTGTGTATGTGCATGCACATGCAATGCATAGCATTTATCAAAACGTTTAATTCTTCAGCTTTCAGTTGATTGCTATACAACCTACCGTGTTAATTAACGAGAGTATTACTGCTCATTCAGGTCATTATTTTGACAGAATGTTATAATTAGATTTAAATACTCATGTGAATTTTGCTGATTGAATTCTAATTGAGAGCTCTGGTGTGTTAATTGCTTTATTTATTCACTTCATCGGGAAACTGTTTGTCTACAAATGTTCTGACCTTGACCTGGAAAAAGATGACCTGAGAAAAATGATATGCTTGTAGAGATTGTTTTTCTGTTCCATTCTCTGAGATTCTGATTTCCAGACTTAATAAATGGCAATCTCTCTCACATGTGCTTACATACGCACACACACAAAAATATAACAACTTTGCTGTTGGGCAAGAAGGGTCTTTGACTTTGGCACTGAAGGACTGGACCAAGATTCTACCCCCTTTCTGCTACTGGGAAAGGAAATGGAAAGGGGTCTAGTGTAGAGTTTCTTTTCCATTCATTGTTTTGAGAGAGCAAGATCATGTTTTTCTCGTTTTCTCAGAGTTATAGATCCACCAAAAGGAGAGAAACAGTAGTTTTTTGCTTCTTGTCTTTAAAGGTTTCTAAGTGCTTTTTTGAAAAGTGTGTGGGTTGTTTCTTTAGCAAGTTAAGCCACTAGATAAATGATAGAAAAGGTAAAATGATTTACTAGAATCAAAATATTACTGGATTATATCTATCCATTTGGATCACATGATATATTTCTCTCCTCTTTGACCACTGCATTAACTAGGTTGGTTTCACTTTTATTTGAAATCAGCATAAGTATCTGGCATTCATGCATTTAACCCAGTGTTACATTTGCATTGCCAACACTACAGGACAATATATTTATTTGAAAACAACTTTCCATTGGATTATTTGTACAAGTTGCATGGAAATATTTGCTAGGTTTTGATTATATGAAGGCTTGCTTTTATGGTGCCTCAAGGCAAAATCAGGTTTGCCCGGTACTTTTTAAAGTATGGATCTGGGGATAGCCACAGTCTTAGGCCTCATCTACCTTAGGTATTTCAGTCAGCAATGGCTGGCTCCAGGTGTAGCTGTACTACAGTCACTCTGCAAATGCAAAATGTAGGTGCGCAAAGCTCTCACAATTTGCAGCTTGTACAAGTGCAGCTGAACCTAGTTTTAAGCGGGAGTAAATTGCAGCAGTGTATACTGTGGCTTACAGATGCTTTGCTTGTTAGGCATTTGTACCACTTCAGTTATAGTCATGAATGGCTAGTTCTTGGGAAAACTAAGGCAACTCCCTGTGCAGGTAATGCCTTGTTTTCAGTTCTGCCTCAAGGTGTTTTCAGTTATCCTCCCCTTAGGTTCAGTTAGACACATTTTGTGCAAACAGAAATTTATGAATATAAAGTGTCAAATTCATTTCCCCTGCAGGAAAATCCTGAAGCATTTGGCTGCATCTAGATACAGTTTTTTTGTTTTTCAAACTTTCTAATCAAAGCTAAGCCGCAGGCATGTAACCTCTAGGTGCTCTTTTATCCTGTTAGCTGGAATGGCGGATGTGGGATGGCCATGTGTACAGTGGCATGGTTTCTAACACTGCTACTAACTTTTTTGCTTCTTAGGGAGTTGCTTTTTAGAGGTTGGTTCTGTTGACATTTTAAATATGAGTTTCCCCATAGAAAACCTCTTGGCTCTGTCCTTGTCTTTCATACAGGGCATGATTCCAAATTCTGGTATCTTAAGTACTTGCTTTTTCAGGTTGCAGTGTATGAACAAGGTGCAGTGGGATTGTCCTGGTTCCCGATAGAAAAACTAAAAGGAAAAAAAAAAGGAGAGAGAAATCAAAGGAAAAATAATATCTCAGCACCACTAAGTGGGTTTATATTGTTAACTTCCCTTGGCAGAGCACAGCTGTGCTGTAGCTTTGCCTTTTTCCAAAAGGTACAGCGGGGAAGCACTGCAGGAAGCAGGATGATGGGAATAAATACATTTGAACAGCTTGTTCAAATAAATGGTGATTGGAGAGTATACAGAATGTTGACATTCAGTACGGCACCTTGTTGATCACAAGCTACTCAGCTGGTTTCTTTAAGTCTTGGACAAAAGCTGGGTGTTGTTTTGGTTGAGTATAGCTTCATTGATCAGGGATATATTTAAAAAACTAAAGCAAAGATAAAAATCAGTTTCTTTCCCCTTTTCCCCTCCATAAGTAAAATCCTCACATTTTAATTAATAGCTTTGCCCATGGCCCATTTCTGTATTTTACAATAATGTAACTTCCATATTTTACAATACCAAACAGATTATTTTAAAAAAGCAATAAAAGATATTACTCAAGCTGTGTGTTCTGGTAAGATGAGTGAGATGTGTATTGTAACCCGCTGTAAAGATTTGCTTGAATTGAGAGCCAGTAGTATAATGTACCTCAAATTGTCATACTAGTTAATTTGTGTGTTATGTGCAAAATGTATGCCACTAAAAATTTCAGCTAGGAGCAAAGTTCACTTTTAAACTATATTTTCTTTTCTTTTCTATGTTTATTTTCTCCTCCTTGTTCTCAGAATCAGAATAGTAGGGCTGAAAGAAACTTCTGAATGTCACCTAGTCCGGCCATCTGCTTAAAGCAGGATCATCCCTGATTTAACCATACTAGTCAAGTGTCTGTCTCACCTACTTTTGATATTTTCCAAGGATGGAGATTCCACAATATATGTGCCTTAGCAATACCTACTACCTAGGTCCAAATAACCAAACCCTTGAAATCTATGGCAATATTCCACTTCAGGTTTCATCTCAAGAGTGTTTCTTACTGTGAAGCTAAGCCCTTCTCATCCACTTGGATTGATATTCTTGCTGAAGAACAGTTGTTCTTTCAGCTGTAAAAAGACAGGAAGCATGCTGCTACTTATATTATTTATTCCCTGGTGTTCAAATCATTTTTAAACTACAGTTATTGTTTTAAGTATAGTTTTGTTTCAGGGACTCTCTCTTACCTAGTGGCTGTGTGCTGTAATTTCAGAGTGTATGAAATTGTTGATATTAACTACACCTGCAGTTTTAAATAGAGGAAAAGATATTCTTAATGAAGGTTTTGTGTTATCATATTTTAAACTAGCTCTTAAGGTTAATAGAAATGAATTACCCCATTATTGGGTTTGGAGAGAAGAGATGAATACTAAGTGTTTTATATAAATGACATGTAAAATAAAAATTAAGGTTCATTTTATAAATACATAGCTCTTCTATTTTCTCCTGTAGGACACCTGATTCTATTAGCAGAGTACCGTCTTCTGTGTTTCTTTAATAAACGCAAATGACAGTACTTGGTCTTGAGGAAGAAGGCCTGTATAAGTAAATACGTTCTAGATAATGATCCCTCACAGCTCAATTTTTTATTCCATCTTTTGAACTCTGGTTTAGCAACATCTGTATCTTAAGCAAACATAATAAGGAGATGACATTAAAGTTCATATTAGAGTTAGTATTCAGTTCAGTCTTTCAAAAGAGGACTTGTGCCTACATGAGACAGTTAGAAATTTCTATTCTACACCTAAATTCTGTTAAGACGTGCTTTTTTTTTTTTTTTCCCAAATAAATGGCCCGTAAACAAAGATTTCACCTCTAATGTCATCTCAGGGGTTGGGATTCAGAAATTCCAAATATGCACAAAACTGGGCCCGATGCTATCCCCTTTTTCCAGGTACTTTGTGCCACTCAGGGGACAAAGTCGCCAGAGTCTGGCTGCAACTGACTGGTTGAAATTTCCCCTGGTTTGGGAAAGCTCTTGGTCGGCATCTTTGGTAGCATAGCTGGTACCTTCTTCTATTACTTCCTTAGCACAGCATAGTGGCTGTCATAGCCTAATGGAACATGCCTGTGCCCTGCCAAGTCTCAGCTAGTGAATGGTTCCCACCCACATTTATTCTCATGCAGGAGTCATGAGAGCTTGGGAGTCAGGAAGCAGGAGCCATATGGCTCCCATCCCTGCCTGCATCAATTATTATTACTTTTGTTTTAAGTTTATTTTGAAAACATAGCTGCATTGGCAGAAAATCCCATTTTGTGCGTCTCTCTCTCTTTTTTTTATTTTATTTTAATTTTTTTTTACAGTATTCAGTCTGCAGTGAACCTTTGATAGAATTATCCAATCCTGGCGCCAGTGGGTCCTTATTCTTTGTAACTAGCGACGATGAGTTCATCATCAAAACTGTTCAACACAAAGAAGCTGAGTTTCTTCAGAAGTTGCTACCAGGTTACTATATGGTGAGTAACTGATGATGGTTAACTTTTGAAGTCACAAATTTTATTTCTAAACTACAACTTCATTCATCTTCCTCTAATTTTAATAACTTTTTAGCCTCACATCCACCAGGAAGGACTAAAGTAAATCAAGCTTATATTCAAAATGCTTTAAAGAGATATCAAAGTGCAAATCATATAAAATAATCCCTGTCTTTGTTCTTAATAAATTAGTATTAAAATATAATTTTATTTTTCTCCATTTGCTTGCTTACCTTTTGCATGGCAGTCAGAATAGGCAAAGAAACCAAATCAGTCGGCTTCATTTTCTTGACTACTTTTTATCTACTTTTCTCAGGCATTAGTGCAATGATGTCATGTTGGGGAGAGAGAAATTCTATTCATAACATTTTTTTATACTTGCTTTTAACGAGGCCTATTTTGGGGCTTACATTAACTGGACTGTGTGCATTGGCAGTCAGTGAGCTGAAAAAATTGACCATTGGAAGTAAATTGAACCAAATTTTCCAAAAGGCTTTCCCTCCTAAGAGCTGCTGAGTTCCCCATGTGAGAGGCAAACTTATATAGTGCACAGAACCTCACACTATTACGACTGTAATGAACAGATGTATATTCCTCTTTCCATCTCTTCTTTTTTAAACTACTTTGGAATGATTTCCTTCTTGTGTCTTGGAATCTTAAAATAATTATTTCCCAGTGTCATTGCTGAGCTCAGAATGCTTGGGCTGGTATTTCAGTCATTCATGGCATCAGAAGGAACAGGTTTGGGCCCTACTTATTCTTTGTTGTTAATCATAATTACCTGAGCTGGCCATTATACACATTGCAAAGCAAAATAAAATCCTTGTTATTTGTGAGCACACCTACTACCAACTTAAATGCACACAAATATTAACCAAAGTAAAATGTATCTGATGTGATTACATGGCCAAAGTTTTTTTTTTTAATTGATGGACCGTCTTGTCTTAATTGTAAACAGGAACTTTTTCCTGTATCAGACTCACAATGCAAATAATTTTCCCTTCTATAATTTTTAATGGCAATAAGATGCTGACATGTTTAAGGATGGTCTTGCTTTCTTCTTTCATATTTTCTACTTCATCTTTGGCTTTGGTTGAGTTTAGAATGTTAGATATACTTTGATTTTTTAAATATTATGATATTATAGTAGGGATATGATGGACTTGTGCTCTATGGATGACAACCTGAGCTATATGAATGTGGCTAAAATTGGCAGTCAGTCTGCTTTGCAAAACCTAAGTCAGAGGTGATATGGTCCTGTTTCATGCAAACCCTTTAGTGTCCCTTGCTTAAGCATCCCTTCTAGATACAGGTTTTAGTCCAGGAGTCGACAGTCTGTAGGCCAGATGTGGTCTGCGAAGAGATTGTATCCAGCCTATGGAGCTGGGATGGTGGCAGCATTTGTGGTGGGGGTGATTCAGCGGCATTTGGTAGAGGGGGGGTATCCATGGTATGAGATGCCACATGGCAGCATAGGAAATTGATAGCCTTAGGCATTGGCCTACCTTAGATTGAGCTTTGTTAACTTGATCTGCCACTGCTCAAATGTTACCCAGCCTTGTTTTGGACCAACATTCTCTCATAAGGGCACATGAAGGCTGCATACAGTCAAAATTATGTTTCTGTTGTGCTGTTGGCCCAATTTTAAATACGTCAGATGCAAGAGGGCAACATGTCTTTATGTGGTACAAAGATGAGCAATTCTGTTTTTGCCTTAAGGTAATCCTGAGGAGGAAATATGGTGTTGTCAGGGATTAAAAACTTGCTGGGCGCAATAGAATATGCTTTTTCCTTTGTAGTTCCATTCTCCCCTTCTGATTGTCAAGACTTTTGACAATGCCTTGGGCTCTGCCTTGTTTGTGGCCATGATGGTTCTGTCAAATGCTTTGCTTTCACTAGAACAGTCTTGTCACTTGACTTGTATGAGATTTCTCAAGTTTGGTTCATGACGACTGAAGCAAATTGACTGGTCATGGAAATAACCTAAAATACAAAATAATGCATTTCCTCTTTAAAGTTTCAACGTGCAACTCCCAGAAATGTGGATGTTAATGTAAAAATCTACTATCTGTTTTCTTTTAGAATCTGAACCAGAATCCAAGGACTCTGTTGCCAAAATTTTATGGACTATACTGTGTTCAGTCAGGCGGCATTAACATTAGAATTGTTGTGATGAACAACGTTTTGCCTCGAGCATTGAAAATGCATTTCACATATGACTTGAAAGGCTCTACATACAAACGGAGAGCATCAAGAAAAGAGAGGGAGAAGTCCAACCCCACATTTAAAGACTTGGATTTCTTGCAAGATATGCATGAAGGACTATACTTTGACTCTGAAACATACAGTGCACTGATGAAGACACTACAGAGGGATTGCAGAGTAAGTACAATTTTATAAAAATTGTATTTAAACAGCTAGATTCATATTTGTTAATCTAGATCAGCAGCATAACAGAAAGCAAAATCTGACTCTAAATCATTTAACCTGTTATAGCTACCGTGTACAATTTAATTTACAAAAACAATACAAATTTCAATTGCAGTGGATAGAACAGTATTCTATTTCCAGCTGCTGAGACTTTTGTTATGTAAAACTAAGTATCTGTCACCAAAAGCAGCTTGTTGGAAGGCAATACAAGTAGGATTAGGGCTTCAGTTTTGTAATTGGGGATTTCATTTGTATTGTACTGTGAGGCATAGCAAGTAGAATTGTATTCTTGCTATAGATGAAGATATGCAAGCATATCCACACTGTATGTTGCTTGGTAAGTAAGTCCCAGAATTGGTTGACAGAAGGTGGTAAAATAAATAAAGGCCTTGTGACACCTGTTTCAAGCTTAGTTTTGGAGCATAGTTCCTGGTTCTCATGCTGTGAGGTTAGAGAGAAAAATATGAGGAAGCTTTGAAGGGAGAATAAGAATGTGTATCTGGTTGCTTTTTAGGAAAGCGTTCTTACTAGCTCTGGGAATGGGATTAGTGATTTTAGGGAGAGCCACACTCTGTCCCTTGCAGTAGAGGTATTTGCTGTTAAATAGAACAGCTGACAGAGCACCAGAGAAAACAGGGGGGAATGGGATGAAGATTCAAGGTATCTGGGAGGCCCGCAAGACGGACTGTAGAAGAAAAATCAGTTTTATAGGAAACCCATATATGTTCAATAGGGAAATAGATACGGGAGTGGGATAAGGGTACACCAGTTTGTTGTCCTACTAGCATGTGTACTATAGTGCGTCATTCCTTGTAGTTGTCCATGAATGCTGTCTTTTGTTTAACTAATGTGGGTGTCTGCAATGGCTTGTGCTTTGTATGTAAAGCTGGGTGATCTAACAATCAGCTGCATGCTCCATGTAAGATGTTTATCTAATGCAGGGCGTTGTTCCTTAGCATTGCAGGGCACATGTCCTGAGCTCCTGCCATCACTGAGAATGCAGAATGCATCAGTGTGCCACATCTGGAAATCCAGGCAGTCTTGTGCTCCCAGTTGTCAAAAGGTTAATTATACAATCAAAACCCCCCAAAAGGGGGGGAAAATCTGACACGCAGAAAATGGTAAACAATTTGAAAGAGATAAAATTAGATTGAACTATACTGAAAAATAAGAACAACGAGCAATTACTTGATTATAGTGGATAAAGCGTTTTTATCTGAACTATTTGAAAGAACAGGATACCCTTGGCATGTATTTTTTTAACATATATATATTTTTTACAATATGATTTAACATGTAATGTAAACAGATCCTAAAGTTTGGGGGCTTTTTTAAGATCACTGCTGTTATAGAAGGAAGAGAAGCTTGTCTTTGGATACTAATATAACCAACATTATCACTGTTTTGTAGGTATACCTTCTAATGAATCCCATATATTTGTGTGTGATTTCTGCTTAACCCCTCACTGCAAAACAAAATATAGTCTCTCTTTATTCATGGGAAGGATAACAAGGAAAACTGAAATACAGGTTGAGGGGCTGTCTTGAACTAGTCCAGAGTTTCCCAAAGTTTTTTGAAAGATGTGCTTCCGTAAGTACTTTGAGGCTCTGCAAACTCAGGCAGACACTAATGCACTCATTGCATTCATATCATGTTATCCAGGCTTACGTTTATAGTCCTAACACCTAAGCAGTTATATTTTTCAAACAAAATTAAGTCTCTAGAGAGCAATTAAAGTATATCTGCACTCTCCTCCATTTTTACTCACCAGATGTTTTCCTCCTCCCTATTGCTCCCTATATACATACTCGCACTTCATAAACCACTGATCTAGCCTATTGTAATAAGGAATCACAGGATCCAATTGCTGTTTAGCAATGTAAGAGTGAGGGGGTATACTGTGGCTGGGGCTGTAGTATTATGTGACATAACATAAGGCTTAATTTTTATACTTCTTCACAAAATTTCAAGTTGCATATAGAAACAAAGCACATATAACCCTGATGTGTTTTGGGATGGGGGGAAGAGGAATTAATATCACATCTGAAGTTTAGCTCTTCTGTACTACACAGCGATGCATCTGAGTGAGTAGGAGGAGGCGGCAGTGTTGGCAGATAAGCAGGAGTTTGGTTTATGTGCATTTTTCACAAGTAATGGACCACTTGGAGGATTTCATTAGGGTTGTGTGAAGCTTCAGTTGCTGATTCAATTTGGTAGAGATTCGGCCAGATTCAGTGGCCAAATCTCTGAATCCAAATCAAATCAGGCGAGCCTTTAATTTCTCTGAATCGAATCCGAACCCTCTGAATCAATTCAGAAAGATTCAATGATTAGGACATAGATGTAGCTTTAAATGTTTTTTCTACATACCTCAAGGTACCGGGCGGCTCGTGATTGCTGATATGCTGGGGCGGATGGAGCATCACACGGGAACACAGGGGAGTCCCCAGTGTGCTCAACAGTGGACCTGGAAGTGGACCAGAAGCACCCGCCCACCCCTCCCAGCTCAGCGACTGGTGCCTCCTGGGTCTGGGGGGGCACCCAATGTTCCCCCGTGACTGATTGCTGAGCTGGGGGAGTGTGTGTGTGTGTGTGGGGGGAGGGGTGGGGGGGAGGGAGTCCCCCGCGCACTCAGCATCGGATCTGGAAGTGGACCAGAAGTACTTCCAGTCTACTTCTGAGTTTGCTGCCAAGCATACAGAAGCCCCCCGTGCTCCTGTCCATTGCTTCATCTTCCCCAGCATCGCAGCATTCACGAGTCACACCTGGTACCTCAAGGTATGTAGAAAAAAACATTTAAATCTGTGTCTGTGGCCCAATTACTGATCCTCCGAATCAACATCAAATCTTCAGATTCAGTCGAATTGAATCGGGACAGTGATCTGAATCAATGAATTTGAATCACTGTCTCCAATTTGGGCCGAATCCGAATTGAATACGGCCCGTCTTGCACACCTCTAGTTTTCATGTAACCATGTAAAACCCTGTTTCATCTGTTCATTACTTTAAGTTTTTGAACCTAGGTTGAATTTAAGGATGTTGGGAATGGAAACAAGGCTAATTAGGATTTCTTTTTATAAAAATCTCTATGGATATCACTGGATCATGTTTGTAGGACCTGACATGGGAAATGGGTTGCTGAGAAGGGCTAGAAGACCAGTCAAAAAATCCTTGTGCACCCTATTGATGTTGTATAGGGCTGGGCCACTGTCTTATGACTGTCTATTGCTCATATTTATGTGGTGTTTGTATGCCCTGCTCTTGAATGGGAATGGAGTTACTGTTTTTGCTGTGGATGCTGGTGTGGGAGAAAGTCAGCACGTCAATGCTATCAGAGGAACTTTCAGGAAACAGCAGTGACCCTAGTTGCTCAAAATTTTGAATTTGGTCTCCACCCTCTCACCCCTGAAAATTGTGGGGTTGTCTTTAAAAGCCATGAAGGTTTTAAAAATAATGTTTGTTTTTATTTGCTTTCTGGGTTGTTGTTTTTTTCCTTGAACCTTTGGGGGTTCACTTGAATTGTGCTTTCAAACCTTTTTGTCATTGTTGCAGTCATAAAGGCTAATAATTAATAGAAGTCAAATTTTTTGTGCAGTTACAATAATCTAGGAGCCGGGGCTTTAAGAAAAGCACCATATATTGTGGGAATCAGAGTGCTAGACCTGGCGGCTTTGAAAGAATTCCCATCAACAGTGCATGAATGTACCCTTAGTTGGTTGTTGTGGGTTTCTTGTCAATTGTTATATTGGGTAGTAGGTGTTCTTATTAGCGCTTGTATAATCACATAATTACTAAAAGAATGTCTGTGGAAAAATGCCCACACTTACAAATGGTTTTGTGCCAAGTGATGGAAGAATGAGGTCAAACACTGTGTTTTCATTAGAATTTAAGCAGTCAGAAGGAAAAAGTGCGCTGAGAATCTTTAGCAGTATAAATGCCGAGGCAGCGTATGCACCCAGCAGGGTTCTCGCATGGATTGTGTAGAGGCTGATTTTGTACCAGACACGATTCCTGCACATGTTCCCAAAAAAACCACGTAATTGTTTAAAAAAAAAAAAGAAAAAGAATTAAGGTTGAAAGCTATGTTTGAGTGGAGTCCAACTGACACCCAACCCTAAATATTATACTTTCTTTTAAAAAATATTCTGAGACATCACAAAAACTCTTTGTATAGCTTGAGGACTTCGTTCATCTTAAAGAAAAGGGAAAAAGGAAAGTGATGTCTGAAGACTCTTAAAGCATATGTGATAAATATCTGCCAGAATTTTTAGTCAGCCTACTGAAATCATGTCTCCTTTGCATATGACACATCAATTTTTTAGTCAACTTTATTTCACTTATGTTAATAAAGGTCCACAATTAAATTGTTAAGTTGGGAAATGTATAAGCTACACGCAGGCTTGAAATCTAATAATTAATAAAACTAAGTTATTTCATTAACTTCAGCTGTGTGATATCCAATCTCTTGTTCTATAAATCTTGGAACACTAATAAGTGAACAAGTTTTGGATACTGTAACATTTAGGCTGTCATCTCTTTATTTAATGTTATCTTGTCTGCATTTTGTGTATATAATATTTCTATTTAAACATGCTTTTTATATGTTTACTGTCTTAACCTGCTATATTACCTTTTTTCTTTGTGTGTGTGTGCATATCAGACATGCTCATGCTTATGAACTTTGATAAACAAAATATAGTATGTTCTTGCTTTTTCAACCAGAAAACTTAGTTTTGTCAATTGTGTTTTATAGAAGCCTATACTTTAAGTTATGCAAGGTAACAAAAGTTCCACTCTGCATGTTACATAACATTGTTTATAAAAGTTGCAGAAAGTTAGAAAAAAACGAATTCATCCAAATGAAAAGAAACCAAAGACTGTTTTTGAGATCATGTCTTCCAAGAGGGGAATTGTGGGACTAGAAATAAGTGAAGTGAACCAAATTTGATGGG